TAGACTTTCAAACTTGAGTCTCGAAGCAGAGAGATTTTGTGAGAAATAAATAGCAGTTTCTCACATTGTGTTAACTTACCGTACAAGTAGAGATAACATGGAAGATGGCTTCTTTTGCGTAAGTTAGCTTCAACCTATGTTTTAATTATATAATCCTGTTGAATTAATTTTGTTTTCAATTTCCTGTCTACCCTGTTTGAATTATTACAATGAACAATTAATGTTATCTGGTTTTTGCTTGTTTGCTGTAAAATTGAAGATAATTTTCATTTTTTTTAGTATAAAATCTCAAGATCTATCGATTGATATAATCTATTTTAGACAGATTATTGTTATCGTTCTGTAACCTTATTACGGATTCAGTAAATTGGTTATCATTATTGGTGTAAAGCCCTGATGACTTTTTTAGGGTGATTTGTGACTAAGAGGGGACAGGTCCTTTGCACGGTGAGAGCTAATTGGTCATAAAAACTACTAGTAACTGCTGGATTTACAATCGAAAAATGCATTTTATGTTAACCTCCATTCACCTTATAGTGAGACTCGTTTTACTTTAACAAGAAGAAAACAGAAGAAACGACGTACATTTTCAGTTTAAAACCAAAAGATGTTTATCTCGGAATAATATTATTTAGGTACTTAAGCTTTTTCCATAGTTAACATTTTATGCAAAAATACGTGTATGAAACATAATGTGGAATAATGCATTCAAGTGTTGTTCTGGCATTGATTTTTCAAGTGTTGTTCTAGCATTGATTTATACATTAGATATTGATTTCCTTTTCTTAGGCTGGTGGGAGAAACGAAAGACCTGTTACTTTGATAAGTAATAGAACCTAGAGTTAGCCATGAACAATAACTTAACTTCAACACTGATTTAGATAATCTAGTTGTGCAGCATTTACTGGGATATAGTCGATAGCGGACTAAATTAGCCAATATAAGTAAAAGATCTGAGTAAAATACACTTAAAAATAAGTATTAAAATCTGAGTTCTTGGAACATTTTTATTTCTTCTTTCTTTTAATTTATCGACCAATTTTACTCGAGAGGCACATGATTCTTTACACGTTTCTGAGCAATGTAAATTATAAGTATATCTAATTCTCATACTAAAATAAAAGAAGCGTAACATGAACAGGTTGCGCTATGAAATACATTACCGTGATGTTTGATGTGATTAACACCATGACAAATTACTGCTACTTCTGAAGTAAGAGAAGTATGTTCTTTATTTTAATTTGAAATGGTATCTAACCAAAAAAGTAAACTTACAACTGATTAATAACATTTTTTTCCCCTATCTTTACAGGAATGGGCCAGTGATATTTCTGGCTTCCTCCCCTTCTTCCTTTCTCTGGAAGGAAGCCACTAAGTGTATTATATGACCAACTTCTACGTTGGCAATAGTCCAAAACTTTCCTCGGTGTAGGCTCCCGTTTCCGTTTCGTGGTAAAATGCTATTCAGTTCTATGGCGCTAGAAGTTGTCTATTTACGATTGCCCTCTCGGTTACTCAGCGGTTAAATCTGGGTGGTTGTAACATTAGAAATCAGGTTGCGATACACTTGGTGAGAAGTGCATAGATATATCAATGTGTAACTTTGCGCTTAACAATAAACAAACAAACGATACTAATTTATTGAACTGTGGTGTAAGATACAGGGAGCACAGTTCATCAAGTGTAAACAGACTGCGCAAGTGTATCAAAGCATCTACAATTTCTAAATTTCTAAAACATAACTTGTTTAATAAACCTATTTAGAATAATAGAAAAATCAGTTTACTATATAAACATACATTGATAATATATATATACATACAGTTTATTCTTTCTGCCCTAGAGCAGGCCGGATATGGCCTAATGTTTAGTGTGCGCTAAAAGAGCGACGATCAGATTCCATTAATCGGTAGATAAGAGTAGTTCAAGAGTTGGCGGTGGGTTCTGTTCACTAGCTAATATCCCTCTAGTGTATCAGTTCAAAATGAGTGTAGTTTTGGACGAAAATCTACAATAAACAAACTACCCTAGAGCACTTACTCTAATTCAAAATAATATCCAATCTATTATGTATAGATTTAGTCAACCTTCGCAGTTTACAAAGTTCACGATTCCAGAGAAATGAAAATGATATGGATATCTACAGCTGAGGAACGTCCATAACACAAGCGTTGAACATACGTATTCCCGACCGGTTTGTCTAATCTAATAAACCTTACATTTTTGGTAAACACACACACACACACACAAAAGGCAACTAGGAGGATTTATAATATAGATAATCTTTAATTAGGGTAAAGTTATATCTCGCAATTGGTTCATGAGCATTAAAAATACCTGAAGATCTTAACTGTACTATTAATTCTCTCCACATTCTATTAAGGAACTTTGAAAGAACGAGTTAAGGAAGTTACAACCATCATGACACCATATTTTTAAATAAACACTCAAACATAAACTACCCAAATTACCTTCACATTTTCATTATAAGACCTTTAACTACAAGTTACGAAAATTGAGAGAACCTGTAACCTCAAGTTGTTTAAAGATATTGAAATTGTGCCTGTATTTTACCCAAAAACTGCATACCGAAAGACTTTCTCGTTTAGAAGCACCACATAATTCTTTGAATTTGAAACAATTTCACAGAAATACTAAGATTAATTGACAGAAGAAAAACAACAACAAATATTGAAAACCGTGCTCATAAAAGAATGGTAAAGTAACAAGTTGTAGATCCCGCTGTATTATTTTAATAATAATTTCTGCAGATGTATAATATCACAGAAAATAAAACAAAAGTGTGTGTGTGTCTTATTACAATCTGACCTATAGATACTGAATTACCTCTCGCTCGTTTCGGCATCAGGCTTTAGGTCTTTGTAGACCTGGGAGGGTCAGGTACAACTAGACCTCTTCCTCCCTCCTGTACTGTATTTGATATACATTGTAAAATGCTATTTAGAGCTTCAAGTAAACAGGGCTAGAAGATTCATTATTTAACACTGTTTATATTTCCCTTATCAGGGCCAATGTCCATGAATGTAATACATAACATTTTGTGTTTCCGTTATCACTTCACTTTATTTGGTCAATGCACAAACTTTTCACAAATAGTTCATTGGTAATTTCACACTTTTCGAGATTATCATATCAAGAATTATGCATTTTACATAAGAAACCGTTTAAATACCCAGTCGATATTCAATCAAGTATATTGTAGGTTCTGGCAATTCTGAATTACCGCGTTCTACCTTGAGTTAGGCCTCACTAAATTCTGTTCCATTTTTTAAAATTATTTGAACCAGCTTTGTTACGGCTTTGACATCAGTGACTACTAGCTGATAAAGGCTCCCTATTTAAAACCAAAGATTACGAGGTGTGCAAATATACACGCGTGTTTCTATTTTTCTTCTTCTCTATATAAGTTCTTCACCATGTTTAGGTTTTGTTCTTCTTCTATGTACAAATTCATAACAACAGTATGTTTCTATTGTTCTTTCTTTATGTAAAAGTTCATAACAACAGTATGTTTCTATTGTTTTTTCTTTATGTAAAAGTTCATAACAACAGTATGTTTCTATTGTTCTTTCTTTATGTACAAGTTCATAACAACAGTACGTTTCTATTGTTCTTTCTTTATGTACAAGTTTATAACAACAGTATGTTTC